TTGGTGGCAATTGCTTGGTAGCAGTTGGTGGATGCAAGTTGGTTGGTGGCAGTTTGTGGGATGCAAGTTTGTGGGTGGAAGTTTGTTGGTGACAATTGGTTGGTCCACAGTTTGTGGGTGGCGGAGGAGGAAGGAGGAGGAGCGGATACCACACTAAAAACAAAACCCCCAGACGTCAATGTGGGAAAAAATATCAACCCTACGGATCCACACCCTCCTGTCGAGGGTGAATGGAGACAACATGAGGATCGAACATCACAGAGAGTCGCGTTTAGTCGCAGGATCAAGAATGCCTCCAGGATTTAGACATGTCAAGGAATGGAAGCAGCCCTTTGAGTCTTCCATGCCATGTTAGTCTTTCTGTTCTCATTTTGGCCTCCAGGACACTAACCAACCCCTGCTGAACCGGCCGCCGAAACAAGAAAAAAACATTGACCGGAACCCACCGGAACCCACCGACCGTGCCGGTGCGCCGTCGGAATCCACGTCTCGGGTTGGCGGAATTCCTTCCATCACCGAAAGTATACGAGTTTTTGAGGAATGGAACCGATCTGCAGATGTATCCCGTCCAACTACCCCCAAACTCCCAAGCCATCCCAAACTACACCAAACCGTCCAAAATTGCACCGCCATCATTTACAATCAAAAAGGTGAATCCCCAAAAAACATAAACTTCCAAACACTCAAAGACCAAAACACACTTCCACTCAAACATTACCAAAGAACAACACAAAATAAGAGACAAACACCTCCCAAACTGCCAGAGAACATGTGTTTCTTGTTTTTAAACAAGAATGGTCTCGTCAATTCTTTTCAACAAGACACACTAGTATATAGTATAGTTGGGCCTTTTTCTGGTCTTTGGCAAGAAAACACACGCCAACTACAGCCCAAGCTACAGCTTTTTGCCTGGCGCCAAGGCTTGGCATGAGCTCTGGGGAGTTGTTCACCTCGGTCGCCCGGTCGTTGGTCCGTGGACGGCGAAATGGATTGGATTCCGTGAACGGTTCAAAATAGATGGTTGGAACCATCGTTTCCGCTGTTTTTCTTTCGGTGCAAAAAGACGTATCACAACGAAGAACATGGAAGAACCGTTTTAGATCTACAATTTGACACACATACAAAACCAGCTGAAGCAGTTCTTGCAGTTTTGTTTATGTTTTTAATGGTCGAACGGAAGGCTATAGGGTGATGGTTAGTTGGAGGAAAACAAGAATCGGTTTGCAAAGGTTGAACACTCTATGAAGGGTTGTGGTATATGTTATAAAGTGTTGTTGAAACATGATCACCAGCACGGACTCATCTATCTTAACCAAAGGCATGGCTACAAAGCACCTCTGATCTGATTGTACATTTAATAACACGTGGCCTTATATGACTGTGATGTGAGCGGGTGCGTTCGAACCTGACCCATTGTGTTGGCACCTCAATGAGCCAAAGGTTCAGGTCTGCATCCAGCATCATGTCACAACCTGTGGGTCGCACGTCTGCGGACCGTAAACGCAGACTTGTAGATACTTAAGGCCCAAAGATCGCAAAGAAACCATTTATTGCAGAGAAGGGACGATTGACGTGCATATACGTGATTCGATTCATGATGAGATGCTTGGTTAATACTGCAAGCGAGCGGGAGAGTGATCATAAGGGATGTCTCATTGCAGCAGCTTCATAACCGTGGGCGGCGTAACTGTTTAAAAAAACCTGCCAGCACTGGACAAGCCTTATGGTCCAAGTGTTTTTAGCTTCACTGGATCGCCAAGTGCACAAATAATGATAGACATGAAAGGAATAGTATTCATTTGTGCATCTTCTTTGCAATTTACCAGGTGACCTTGGACAATACATTTTGTTGTACAGAACGATGTGCGCAACCTCTTTTGCTACAAAATGGAAAGCACCATGCAAAAACACAGTGCTACAGAATGACCTATGGATTTATGGTGCACTGCAAAATCAAGGGCCCCAACCCTTCTATTGGAAAAACACATACAGTATGGGATTTAGAGCTACTACAAAATGTATTGCACAACCTCAAGCATGCCCCTCAGCAAGCACCAAAAAATGCTCACTACAAAAAGTCCCGGCGGTACAGCAGCGGGCATGCTGATAGGACAACACTGTAGTATTTTCCTGGATGTACATCTATGCCGGTACATCTAGCATGCCCCTTAGTTCGCTTTTCAGGCCAAAAATTTGGCTGCATATTCAAGTCAATCTCTACAAAATGAACGGCCCAACCTCTCTTTTTGATCAAGTGGCTCTCTACAAAATGAATTGCCTGAGGTTCAGAGTCATCCCAACAAACGCCCAGCAACATCCCCCTACAAAATGTTCTGCCTGACGTCTGGGGGTGCGTTTCACAGCATCTTACTAAGGAATGCATTGGACATCCAAAATGTCATTTTATACAAAATGCACCGGTTTTGGGTTTTGTAGTCGCCTTGAGGCCACCCATTTGGTAGTGGAAATTGGCACGAGGATATTTGTGCAGTGATTCCTCCACCACCCAAACAAACAAAGAGCATCCTATTCGGACATTTGGTGTGTCAGCAAAAGCTGCATGTCAAACCAAGACTGTTGTGTACCCACGACAGGCTGGCTCCCAACCCATTGACACACAGCTGGCCCAACCCTATCCGGCCCGACCTAGGAGCTCGTAGCCCGTGGTTTGCAAGTCTTCCGCTTGTGATTCCATGACCTGCGCACATGCAGCCACGCCAAGCCTTGTGAATCCGCTGTCCACTGCCGTGTCTTGCTGGCAGCTAAGATGAACCGACTACTTTACTGAATGGTCTCGTAGGGAATGAGGGAAGTTTCGCCCCCAACAGGGATTCGTTTGGATCCAGCCACCCTCATTCCTTACTAAGCAAGGCCGCCAGTTTAGCATGTGCTTTCCATGTCCTGTGGTCCTGTGGTCCCGTTGTTCTTCGGCTGTGGGTCAAAACCCGGGACCTGGTTGACCACAGAACATGAACAGAATAGACTACTGGCTACTATAATAGGGAGGTCAAACTACCCAAAAATCTATGCTTGTACTCCATCCGGCCCTAGTGTTTCAATGGCTAGCGAGCCCAAAGAGGCAGGCCGTGCTGCACAACCAAAAACTGTTCCCGCAACATCGTAATAAATTGGCATGATCACGTGTGTTATGCATGTTACACGTATTTTCGTTTAGTAGAATTCAAAAATTTAAGATTTACCGATGGAGCCAAACGATCAAACACACAAGCGCGTATAAAGTCAATCGGGTGAAGAAAAAGCACATGTGAAGTTTGTGACTTCGAGTCAGCTGTCCAGAGTCCAAAGAAGGCATCGCCGATTTCGCAAAGTGTCCCAGGTTGTCCAGGTTGACGAAAACTTGAACTGTTGGTGCAAACAAGTGTAAAGGTCGACAATTAAAGACATTTCAAGTGCTCACGTCAAAATGCATGCTGTAAGTCGGGTATGTTGTTGGAATCCTGGTATTGAACCACAATGTTGCAACAAAGGTCCAATCAACTCTGCCATGCAAAAAGGGACCCAAAATGACCCAAAGCATGAGCCTGTGACAGACCTTCATGACTCAATGACCATCCTTTGTCCTTCATTCAGAGAGAATGAACGCCTCTCCCTCTTCATACAACAAAGGAAGCCTCCTATAGGGCATCGTGCCCTACTCCGAAAAGCGGTGGACCCAATTCAATTCCACTTTCTCCGAAGGTACGACAATCCAAACCCATCTGAAACATTCCCAAACACCCAACGCCTGTTCTTACAGGGCAGCCGATGGACTTCCCTTGCCTCCATGAGCAAGCCAAGCTTTTGCTTGATCTTCGCATCGAGCTCCACCTGCCAGAGGACGGCACAATAAGGAGTCAACAACAAGTAGCGCGGCAACGACATGTCAAACAAGTTTGACTTGTTATTTGGTGGACCAAGGGGCCCAATCTAGGTCCAATTGACATGGAATGGCCCCGAACTTGCTCCTTGTTGGATCGAACATCTTGCTCCTTGTGTGCTTTGAAAAGCGCTCGTTTCGTGCCCGCGTTTCACGCCCTGGGCAATGTAACGCAGCTTGATGTAACTCGGTGAAAAAACCGTCGCTCTGGGTCCACCTTTAGGGATCTATCTGAGTGATCCAGTGAAATCAATTGGCCTAAAGACGAAATTGCTTCCCTGCAAATCAAATCTGACAGCTTCGTTGGCCTGGAATCCTGGAATTTGTGATGAAACAGTCACATGAAAATCATCGACATGTATACCTGGACCATCCCGTCTGAGTGTCCGATGAGGAACAGTAACAAGGTAGCGTAGTGTAGGGTGGTGGTCCAATATTGGACATCAGGGAATTGGACATCAGGGACATCCGTTGGACAGTCCTGGAAGACACACATGTCTAAACCTTCTACTGGACCCAGTGCAACGATGCACAACCTGGCAACATTGGTCCTCATTCACGTCCTTTCCACCACCCATCAAATCAATCATCTATTGTCTGTGCGAGCCATTTCCTGAATCTGCTACAATCTGCACAACCTCCTGTGCTCATCAATCCTCCCACATGAAAAATCTGATTTGGGAGCATGACCTGTAAATCTAGCCTTTCCGCTGGCAAAGCTTCTACCAAGCTATCCAGAGCGGCTTACTAAGTCAGCCTTTCCCATCCAAAATCATCCAACATCCATGATCCCGACTTTTGCGCCTGGACGAAGTCTTTGTGGGCAGGTCCAAGTTTAGGGCCCAAGACGTCTTGGACTTGCTTTGGTCCCAAGACTAACTGTGAGTAGTTCCTGCATGGCTCGGTCCGGCGTCACAACGTACGAACTCGCTCGCTCTGCGCAAGGCGCAGAAATGACAGGCAAGACGAAGGGGTTGGGCGGGGCTCGTTTCTGTCGCAACAGGAAGGACTTATGAGACGAGGGTAGAGGGTGGGGAAGTTCCTGTTTCAGGACATATGAGACCAGAATAATCATCGGAATATGGCAACGTCCATAGAGTAGTCCAAAGCAAGCAGAATTTGGGCCTGTATTGAAGCTTCAACCTGTCTCACTCCGCATGTTTTTGGGCCCTGGACATCGATCGCTTGACGATTAGGAACGTCTGACCATGCGCATCAACGCCAAATATCCTGAAGGGATTCAATTCCACTGAAACTTGCTGAGATGATTGAGCCTTCCAAATAAAGATCACCAGTACACTGTACTCAGCAACTCCTAGATTTCATCCAATGCAATCCACCTACATTCCAAGCAATTTCTGGCGACATTTCCCATTGTTTGCCCATGATTTACGAGTAATTCATTCTCCCCGAAAGCCACCTTGAATAGGCCTCACAATGACCCAACGACAGCCGCAAGCGGCTAGAACTTCACCAAATCCACATTGCCATTGGAGTTCGGGTCTCTCTTTCAACGCTCCTTTAGGCGCACCAAAACGTGATACCACTCGCTTCAGTAGAATAAACTGAAGATCTGTTGAAGACCCTGAAGCTGTCTCGCGGACTGGACTGAAACAAAACCTGTTCTTCGTCTCGGCTCGGCACGACGAAGCCGGAGCAGTCGACGAAGGATGGACCAAGTGACGCCCTTTCGCGGAGCTTTCCATGCACCTGGCCGCAAATCGTGGTCTGAAACCTGGGTGGCCTGGCAAAGCCCTCTCCAGCATTCAGATGAGCTTTGTTGGCCTCAGGAATCAATGTTCCCCACCATTACTGGGGCTTGGCTAGCATTCATGGTGTGTTACCTGTGATTTGGGTAGCCACTCTGCAGTGGAACCAGGACCCCTTGGCTAGACTGTTCCAGGCTTTTGTTGAAAGCGCCAAAGGGGAAAAGCACCAGCAATTGAAGCTGGTAACAAGTACACTCTTCCGAAAACTATCCCAACCACTCCATGGGACTGCCATAGGACTGCCGCCCCATTGACCCCCCTGGCACAACCACCCCTGGCTTGATCGGCAGTGCAGTCCCAGACGGGTCGTGTCGGGGTATACAACGAAACCGAACGACAGGCACCGAACGGGACCGACTCTTTTCCTCTACCGAGACCGTGGGTTTTTCCAGACGCTCCATGTGGGTGACTGCGGGGGAAACAAGAACCGACTCCCGAGCCCGTTTCGATCCGATACAGCTGAACAGCTGAACGAACTCTGCCTGGTTTACAGTTTCCATATGGGTGTGCGTCAAAACCCCGGGTCTCAGGTGAACATCGCGCACCTTCCTGTTCCATAGGGTATGGAACGGATCCCTTGTTCCATAATAAGGTATGGAACGGGTATGGAACAAATTGTACCAAAAAACCTGACGTGTCATCTCAGTCCTGTTTCTCACGGTAAATAGCAAAGCGCACGTTTTGATTGAACCTCGAACAATTGTAAACTGGGAATCCATAGGTATGGAACGATGGGTATGGAACGGCGAACAAACATGGCGTTCCACAGGTACGGAACGGGGTATGGAACGAGATGTTCAAGAGTACATGTTCCATACCAAGACGTTTTGACTCATGGCCATATCAAGAATCTTGCAAGCATGCAGGTGATCTCAGATCTCTCCTGAGACCTGAGAAGGCAAGACCTTCGTGTGAAGCACCATCACTTCGCTCTTTGATTCTACACCCATCCAGACCGATCCAGACCGATCCAGACCGCACCAATCGCGCCTTGGTGTTGGTGACCACGTTCTCTGGATCTGTGGAAGATAAGTTGAACTGCTGGTGTCCACATTTCATGTACCAAGCCTCAACACACAGCTGGAAGGCTTAGCACTGCATGTGCTATGCCTCGTGTCACATGAAGTTTCCGAAGATGCGTGTGGCTTTTGAAACACCTCGAACCGTCCAATCCCTTCGATTGAAACAAAGCGGCTTCCAAACCGATGCCCAGTGGATGCATGGTGAGGTTTCCAAAAAACATCGGGGGCCATTGGACCATGGATCGATCCGTCGATCCACCAGCGTTGCAGCGCATGATCCATGTCTTCACGGTCCAGGTGAAGATGACAACTCTTCTGACATCGTTTTGCATGCAAAACCATGTATTTTTGAAGCATGTAACTCTTCTCATCTTCCTCTGTCCAAAACCCATGTTGTGCGATGCAGGTATACCAAGTGCAACACCCAGCCAGTTCGTTGACGCGAGGGCGGAGGGCAGAGCATCTGGTTTGTGTGTCCCACTAGGTCCCACTGTAGGGATGCACTTCGATTGCTTGTTGTATTGAAGACACTGGGATCCACTGGGATTCTAGAATTTGTTTGTTGCCGCCACAGCTCGCTCTATCCATTCAATTCTCCTGGAACTGTAGCGCGTTGTGACCAGACTATTTTCAAACGAAGGGTAAATGAGATGACGCCTAGGCTATTCCTCTCAGAGTGATATTGAATACCTCCCTGCCAGTGGTCCGGTGCCCTGCCAAAACAGGTGCATCCTGACGCAGGAAGCTTCTATTGAAAGTTCTCAAAGTGAAAAATAACCGAATAGTTCCGGAACAGCCACAAAACCAAGGTCAAATCATGATACACTCCCTGGAAATACCTGCAAAATACAATCATGGAACTGGATGGCACCACCTGTTCACTCTTCGGAAAATGGTCATCAAAAAGAGGCCATGCCATCCACTTCCATGATTCTTCCAGGGGTGTGCTGTGTTCGCAGCTTCGCAGCTCTCTCAATCTGGCCGACCAGTCACAGAAGAATAAAACGCCACCAGCGGAACGGAGGTCGGGATGTACAAGTAGACACGGAAATCGCACTTGTGCCCATTCACCTGAGAGCCAAGTCGGACGAATGGCACTGCCCTTCCGTCACACGTCCAGTTCTTCCGTCACCCAGTTTCACACAGCGAGTGTTTGGAGGAGGACGGAACCAGGGACGTGCCGTTTTCGGCCGTTGGCCGAACGGAGGTCTCGATTGATCTGAAGGAACGAACTTCCGGCCGGTGGGGCCAAAGAGACCGGTGGACTCGAAGAAACGGGACTTGCGCAGTGAAGAGGTGAGGGATGAGTGAGGGGTGAGTGAGGGAGGTCTGTGACGAGTTCTTTGCGCAGCGGAGAAAAATGGAGAATGTTGTGATAGAAACTGTTTAGAAGATCGACACTAAGATCGACTTGTTCCATGTACCCTTCTGGAAGCGTGTGGGTCCCACAGGTAGCTTCTTGACTGTGATTCCCCTTCCAAAACTACTACCATGCCTAGAGAGGATGGGTTTTCACTCTCAGCTCATCGCCAGCAACGGATTTGCCAGGTATTGCTGCACCATGCCCCGCGGCCGCCGCGTCTGGAGCGGGTGCTTGCAGTAGAAGAGCGTCGTGTTCCGTTGAACCCACTACGAGGGGCCCAAGTCAAAGTCCCGCACAGAAAGAAGTGAGCCTTAAGACTTAAGCTCCCATGCAGTTCCAATCAGTTCCACATGTAATTAGTGTCATGTCGAGTTCTCTTCGTGGAGGGTGTCCATTTTGGCTTCTGCAAATGGAGTGCTCCATCTCTGCATTTGGTGGCTTGAAGTAAGTAGTCCGGACAAAAGGACACGACTGGTGTGTTCCATCCACATGGGCCCCATCCCTCCAATGAACATTCGATAGCTTTGTGAGTTGGGGAGAGGCTAGGAAATATGGTTTTCAAACTATGTTGTTTTTTAAATATGTATTTATGAAATTTTTACGAAACGCATTTATGAACAAAAAATGTTTGGTTTTTACTTTATGAAAAAAATACGACACTATTTTGTAATTTCGATTGATGCGCTCAACAAATCTTAACATTTTCATTTAAACAATCATTAAAAAAACAAAAACACATTTTTTTAAAAAAAAAATACAATATTCATAAAATTTTCATAAAACTCATATTTTTGTTCATAAAATTTATAATGTTTCAATGATTTTTTTACGATTCTCGACAAATCGTATAAAAATCATTAAAAAACACATAAACATTATGAAAATTTTATGAAAACAATATGAACATTTTATGAATATTTTAAACATATGAAATTGTTATGATAAAAAATATGAATTGTGTCGAATTTCTGATTTGGTGGAAATTCATTAAAAAAATAAAACATTAAAACATCATAAAATAATGTATTAAAAAAACAAATCATATAAAAAAATATGATTAAAAAAGAAAATGAATCTCCAAAAACTGAGGACCAATTAGTTTTCATAAATTGTTCATTAGAAAAAAAATCAACTAAACAAGCCTCTGGCTGTCTTCCTGACTCTCAACGATAGCTAGATCTCTGGTGAATGCGATGCCAAGTCTTCAATTTAGATCATTCTGTTCAGGAACTGCAGGATGAGTCCATTGAGTCTCAACTAGCAAAAATGGAAGGCAAAACTGCCCACATCTGAAGGAGTTTGCCCATCTCCCAAGAGAGCCACCGTATGCCTCCATCATTGACTCCATCATGAGCCCTTTGTGCGTGAAATACTCTTCTAAATGTCTAAATAGCTGTGGGTGTCAAAAGCGTGGTCCAACTCCATTTTAACTCGTCGCTTTTCAACTTCATCCGCACCTACCCATGGATGGTGGCTGCCACCTCCTCAAATGCCCTGCTTCGGCCGTCCGCGGGTCCCAACCCGGTCCGCGCTGTGCCCCCTGGTGGCCTGGTTGGTGCTACAAGTCTGAGCAAACGTCTGGGCTTCCTGGAGCGTCCATCCATGGACGCGCGTTGAGCCGGGAGGTTAAGGCGCGTCCGGACACGCGTGTAGAAAAGTGTATGTTTTGGGAGCATCTAGGATCTATTGTCATGATGAATCACTCTGTTTTCTCTTTTTGAGAGCATCGCGTTTCAGATCTGATCTGATCATCAAGTTCACAAAGCAAGCAGCAAACTGGTGGTGAACAAACATATATATAAAAACATATTCAAAAATCACAAACTACTGAATCATCTTGTCCCCTGTACCACAAGATGAAACAGCTTCCTCCCTCCCGAGCTTCAACCGGTCGACCAGACCCGACTCCTTGGGACCGAACGTCCGTCCGTCCGTCCGACCCCGAACGGCCACCGGAACGAGGCCACCTCGGGTTTCAGAAGCCGAACACCTTGACTGTTGTGTCGTCGATCCTTGCGACGCGCGCGCGTCCCCGTGCATCGTGCGTCCGGACGTGCGTCGGAAGACGACGTGGACGTTCGTCGGAGGGAAGCGGCTGGAAGCGGGCGGCTGAAGAGGCTGAAGCGGGCGGCGAAGAGCCCAAAGCAAAGCAGATCGAGTCAAGAGTGGCGGGAGAGAAACAGTTTTTTTTGTTTTTTCGTTTCACAAAGTGTTTGTTTGCTTTTGGTTTGGTCCTCCGTGTTTCATGAGGTCAAAAAGAGAAGTCATGTGAATGCATGCGACCACATGTGACCACATGTGACGCCTAAGTGGCTTTTCAAACATCTTCATTGAGGAAGATCTGCAAGAGGGTGAGGAGCCAAGTCTCCACAATCCCCCCAAAAGTGTGAATATAAGGCCAAACTTGTATGTGCATGCATGGTCATTAGCTTCTAGGTGCCAGGCCTAGAATAGGCCACCAATGGCCACTACCTCGCTTTTTGTGGCTCCAAAAAAAGTTGGTCGCCGAACTGTTTGTGGGGTCCGACCGTTGGCCTTAATTAGGCTTGTGGCATCACGATGGCGCCGTGCTGCTTGGAGAACAACAAAGCATCAAGTGTGCTGAAAAATCTACAGTCTCACTCTGCAGTATCAATGTGAAACGCGTCTTTGGGGCATATTTGGGCATACAGGCCCTGGTAATATACCGGAAAGTGAGGATTCTCATGATGCCAGGCCCAGGGCGCCAAAAGAAGCGTCTTCAGAAGCTTTCAAAATAGCCAAAGTAGGAGCTACAAGTTACGGGCGCGGGTGAGTTTTGACCTACATCCTCACATGCACATGTCCTCGCTTCGTTCCGACAGCTTTGGGTAGTAGTTAAGATATGTGATATGTCATTGGGGTTCCACATACCTTCTCAGAAGGTACTTGGGCCCTCCAAGCCTACATAAATAGTCTCCAATCACCTTCTGAGAAGGTACATAGCCATGGCTGATCAAAGCATTGTTTCGTTGGTACCGAACATCGATATCTGCACCATCCATCTCCGGCAAAGCTGGCAAAGCCATTGGCCGTTTCTCCAGTTTGCCCGCCAGTTTGCCCACCATGCATTGTAGTATTATATATGTTAGATGTCATAAATGGGGCAAATGCAGCTACAGTATAACTTATAACTATTACAAAATACTCTTCCAGTCCCATGGATGGTGAATCCATTCATCCCCTTTTCTCAGCTCCTGCTTGTGAATCCACATGGCCGAACTCACCTCCCAGCCAAGCCGGAAGGCTTGAGAAAGCACAGATCTCAGGTGTGTTTCCAACCCACGGGTTTTGGTCAAGCACATGTTTCCCCCAAGGAATTTGACGATAAGAGAAAAGATGAGAAGAAAGGTACGGTGTAACGGTATAAGGGTATAACATGGTATAACTCAGTATCAGCTTCATGATGTGGTTTCGCGTTTCTTGCCCCAGCATGCCCAACTCCAAGGTAAAACCGATCATCTGGTGTCAAGCTTTCCAGTCCCAAATTTCCCTTAAAGCTTTAAGCTTCCACAAAAGGCCTTCATGCCTCATGCCTCGAATAAACCTTCCCCCAGCAGCCACCAACCTTCATGCCTCGCAATCCGAGACTCCTCTGATCCGATACTCCTCTTGGGGGGAGAGATCTTAAACAACAAAAATACCATAAAATACCAACTTTCGCTCCACGCTTCTCGCTTCTCGCCTCGCTTCTCGCTTCGCGTCTCGCCTCCGCGCGCCGTTAGCTACGGACCGACTTCGGCGCCTGTCGCCGGAAGTCCAGGCAGTCGCGCTTGTTGCGCAGCACGAAGCTGCTTGGCATCAAGCGTAGGACCTGGATCCGCAGTAGCCAGGCAGAAGCGGAGACCAGCCAGGCAGACCGCTAGCAGCCAGGCCAAGTAGTAAAGGTTTTGTGATAATGTCTGTTTCCTGTCAGGTTGGGTGCAATGGGATTTCCCTATAGCCGGTGATGAGCGAAGTCATCAGTCCAAGACGCTGCAGATCTACACCCATTCTAGCCTGCGCCATCCAACGTCAGCAAATTTGTGAAGATTTTAGGTTTTGTTCAGCGGATTTCTAGCTATGCCTTCTCTGCCAAACTCGGACCCCAAGCTCTCATTCTTCGTGCAATTTCTGCACCATACTTTGTCGGGGCGGAGAGGCAACCATCGACACTTCATTTCCTCAACGGATAGGTATACTTCTTTCGCTCCCCGAAAGGCCCGAAAACATCTGGGCATGTCTTGACCCGTTGCACTCTACGTGAAGGACAGTTAAAAAGGTTCATGCTCCAGCCTGTGCTCCAATGAATGAGTGAAGGACACACTGGTTGAAGGACTTGTTTGATCTTTTTTGAAGGACCGGTTGGCCAAAGGATCCACTTTCCACGTTTCAGCTTCACGCAAGCGCCGCAAGGGAAACCGCTCGTTTTCGCACCTCCACACGCCATGGGACTCGGGAAACGAAGCGCCTCAGGGAGATTCATGGAAGCAGAGCACAAAAGAGACATGTGTTGGGATATATGATATATTCCCACTACCAGGGCCTGGTGAATGATGATAGTTAGGTTGCAGGTCTTTCCCTAAATGAGTGATCATCTTTTGCCCTTGGATAAACTGGACTCCCTAAACATGTGTTTGATCTAAAAGTGTTAACGACCCTGAACATACATCATACATCTGAGGTGCAACATGAAAAGGATCAGGCTACTCATGTCATGTTCTAAACAATAGTCCTCAATTCTTATGCTGCTGCATAATCTTCTTATACCAAGTACAAACGCAAAATAAATAACATATAACATGTTCAACACACCCTGCTGCACAGGTTTTTGGAAGGATCCATCCATGTGGACTTCCATCGTGGACGTGAATCCGGAGCATCTATGACGCTGAGATCTTCATCTATGCCGCTGACCATCTGGAACATATGGGCATGTAATGGCATGTATCAACATAGGCAGACCTCCCATCTCGACCCCTGGAAGATTCAACATGACCAAAACCCATTGGTTGGGTGTCACCACTGGTTCACCCTATTAAAAACAAAACAAACACACACACACACATGCATCATTTGATATCCATTGGTTCTCAGAACAAGCCGGTTGTTGTGTTTTTTTTGCCAACTCTCTAGCAGGCTGTGTGTGTTGTTAAACCAACTCCTCTTGTGTGCGTGTGCATTCGGAGCGGCATTTGGAGGAGCTAGAACCAAACAAATGTAAAACAAAAAATAATAATGCCAACTCTCCCTATGCGCATTCTCAGTTAAACCTAAGACATTGCCCGGTTTGACCCTTCCGTTGAGCACCCTCCTGAAAGCTGAGTTTAAGTTGGTGCTTGATCCACAGAACTCATAAAACAATAAATAATGGTATAAAAATAAAACGAGCTTTCAAGAATACATCATACATCCGCTTCAGGCTAAGTGTTGCTGTCTATACCATCATCACCACTCCAGCGAACGGGACGAATGCCAAGGCACTTCAACGCGAAGGCCAGACTCGACTTCAACTGCAGGCGTTCAGGAGGGCTGGACAGGTGGAGTCAAATCCTTTGCTACACTCTGACTCACGAAAATGGAAGTGGATGGAATGGTCCCTTGGAAGACGACTTTCCTTTAACAGGGGGTCCCATCCACTTCCATGGGACATGTTTGTCGGAGTGTACATGTGTGTTTGTTTTTGTGTGTACCATTTTACAACTAAACAAATGCTTGCTTCGATTCAATGTCCGATATAACCCCCTGATGGTTGCTTTGGTTTTGAAGCACACGTTTGTCTCAAGCTGTGCTGCGTCCCTTACCTGTATCGACATAGGCATGTTTTTTGTGTGTTGTTGTTTTTTTCTGTCACAGCTGTTCAGGAACATGTTATAAGTTTTTTAAACTTATTAATAAACCTATTGACCTATTGGCTCAACCCAGCAAGGTTGGGCTACAAGAGCTGGGTGCCAAACCTTTAGAGTACCAAGATGATGCTTCGAGTCTACAAAACCTGTCTACCGGGTCTACACAGTTAAGCGACTCGAAAAAGGCACTTCGCCACATTTCGCCACATTTCGCTTCTTGAAATAGGTAGGCTTAGCCGCCCTTCCCCCAAATCACAGGTGTACTTCAACAGCACGGGCATTGTATGGCATTGTTTGGCCCTTCAGTCGCAGTTCGCGCGTTCCACGGTTGTGAATGAAGAAAACGCCCGCAGTGAGTCGCTTCACATGCAGTGAGTCGCACCGTTAGCGATGCGAATCGACCGGGGATCGCCCCCAAATCGTCTCCACCGGATGGGGATGAGACCGGTGGAGGTCTCCACCGGTGGGGGTGGAGAGACCATCACGGTTTAGAGATGTTCGAGGACTTTTCGATGATATCAAGCTATCCCACTTAGCTGTGCCACCCTGTGAGCAGAAAAAAAAACGGCCACACCCCAAATTCACCGCCGTGGCCGTATCTTCTCCGTGGCGCCGTGATAGGCTGCGTGAAGGGCAAATGGTTGAAGACCTCCGCATCGATGAGGGTAAGAAAATCATGGACAGTCTACCCATTCGGCCAGGGGGTCTCCCTATCTGCATACACACACCAATGGCGGTCCAAACCGGACCTTGGTTGGACCGGTTGACTGAACCGAATGGACAACCTACTATAGGGAGGTCAACCTACCAGGGTTTAGGGGATTTCCTTGTTTTGACTCACCAAATTGGGTGGAACTGCCCGTGAATCGACCAGTCCTGGCGAATCAACTTCTAGTCTTAGGTAAAACGGGTCATAGGCAGCTAGGCGACGATCGGGCACACCAAATGATCGGCTACTGAATAATAATGCAGGTGTCATCCCAGCAAATGCAGATGCAGTGCATCAATGCATTCCACTCGATGAGTTCTTCAATCATGACGCCCGAGCCGTTTCTCTGGAAAATTACAGGTTCCCTGAACTTTCGACCTGTTGGATTTAAGTGGGAAAACCATTGAAGCCAATACTCGCCAATAATACCACCAAAAAAGCAAACAACCATCAACTCGAACTCGTGATTTCTGCACCGGTGAAACGCTCCAATGTGAGACGCTCAAACAACGCGGTCACCCGGTGACCTTGACGTCGCCTCAGCTCAGTCCGGCGCAGATCTCCACCCCCGGTTGGCCAGACCTGATGTCGCGGGTACTCGGTGCAAAGGTTCAGCAAATGCTGCGTCCTTGGCTCGATGGTGCCGGGCACGCGGTGGGCGGTGCGTAGAACCGCGCGGTGCTTCAGGAGATCCGGAGATGTTTTTGGAACTGTGGCATTGCATTGGCACGGAGCAGGGATTGGCTGCCAGGGCAATGGTCTGATTAAGTTGCAAGGTGTATGTTTTCCGAGGACACCATCATGTCTTTCAAGTCCAGAATTCTCTTGGACTCCCATGCATTGCTCAAAATGGTCAAGTCAATCACGATTGAGTTGACAAACAAAAATGATGTTGCAAAAACCCATGGTTCCAGGATTGCAAATCGAGGAGCTGTGTCCAAAGAAGGAGCTGTGTGTATGCAAAGATCGGGTTGTACCCATCAGATGTCGCCTGTTTTCCTTACAGAGTGCTTGCACTCCCCAGGTTTCATTGCTGGAGGCATGTCAGTTCACTCACGCACATCACCCACATCCAGGTCTTTGCTGAACCCGACGCAACCCACACAATAGTTTCTCCAGTGTTCCAGGATAGTCTTCTTCTTCCCAACCCCCCCCAAAAAAGCAACGTTCATACATTTCAGTCAATGAGTCAACCGTGTACCATCATGTGTTAAATGTATATTAATTAAACTAATAAAAATAAACATGATGTTTGAAATAGAGTCTCCAAACTCCAGAACCAGACCATCCATGGGACTGGCATATTTACCACCCCATTGATTCCCTCTGAAAAACCACCCCAACTCATCGGTACATATATGCCATACATGAATGGTCTGGGGAATAGTTCTACCTTTCCAAGCCTGGGTGGGGTCTATACATCCATAGTAACACACGAAGGCCCTTGACCAGTTTTGTCATGCGGCCGCTCGTTGCGCGCGTTCGTGCAACAGCAATTCCCTGATTTTCTGAGCATCTGTTGCTTGGAGACCACGAAGGTTGCCTCCTCCACCGACATAATGCTCGTCACCTGGGAGCATCCAGTCGGAGCCCAGTTACATGGGGTGCTGTGGTCAGCCCGTCCGGTGACGGAGCTCGGCCGACGCTCGGCCACGGAGCTCGGCCACACTGCGGGTGGTGTTCCACCACGGGCCAGAGCCATCTGATGGCTGTACACAGATGCCAAACACACACAAACACCTTCCGCTTGCTGTACATGGTGTTCACCAGCCTGAGAAATCACGACTCATGTGGCTGTGTGTTGTTGGTATGTTCCAATGTTTTTGCTGTTGCAATGAAGGGTAAGTTCTCCTTTCATCCTGGAATTGAAGAAATTCTACCCAAAGCAATGACTGAGATGATCCCCATTGATGTGGCATATTTTGGTCATGTCATGCCTCATTGGCAATCGTTGCTTTCAACTTTCAACCATCAAACCCAAAACCGCCAGCCAAACATCTTCCAAACATGCCATGGTTGATGCTTGTTTGGAGAGAATCCCTTGTAAATCTGAAAAAAAAAGTTCTAAAAAGCAGCCATTCAAAACTCTCAAGAACTTGTCGACCCAACCTTTGGAGCTGCATTACCCAAAGCATTACCCAACCTCGTGGTGACGAGTCAAGACATGTCAAGACTACCCCTCCGAACCACAAAATCTCCTGCCGGACATGTCCGCGAAGAACGCCGCTGTCCGCCCCTCAGCAGCCGTGAGACACCCGCGGATTCCCAGGCATTTTTGTAGGCCTGGCATTTCACTCGGAAGAATACATGACATGGTCTCGCGGACCATGCAAGGGTCTCGTGCTTTGTCTGCAAGACTGGCGACCCAAGTCCGAAGTTGGGAAAAGAAGGAAACCTGTAAACTCTAATAATTTGCACTCTGACTCACCAACATGAAATTGAAAAAGAACACTTGTGTGTGGGGAAAATGGTCTTCACAGGGGCCGTTGTCTACTTCCATGTTAGCGAGTCAGAGTGTAAGAGCTGCGATGACTGCATCTCACAGAGCTTCTGGCCTTGGTGAGGATCTTCTCATCACGTGCGGGTGTACCCCCCCACCGCTGTGGTCCCAGATTCTGCCAGGGGCGGTTTTTTGCGGATGTTTTCAAGCTGTTGTTGTCTTTCTCAATCGTTGGTCAAAAATATCAGGTACACTGCGACCCTTCGGAGTGGCATGAAGCAGTTCCTTCCATCGCCGTGAAACGGGCGTCCGGCGCCCGTGCTTCCGAACAACCCCTGGCACGTGGCGTGCATCGAAAGGCGAAACCCTCTGCCTTCTCCACGGGGTAGAGCTTCCGGTCTTCCAGATTCAGCTCTTCGATCTAGGACCGTGCAAATGGAGATGAGAAGAACATGGGGGGAGTACGGGAGTGTTATGATGGCCTCAGTCAAAAGATGTGAAAACATGTCTGATGATTTGGAGAATGAAGATGCATTGAGTATCATTAAGTATACAGTATACAGTAAATAGTGGTGAGGGAGAAGCCTAGTCATGACCAGGATTCCAACTCAAAATAATTGCAATTGTTTGCAAATGATTGACACATATTGCAAATATGTGACGTGCCGAGGCTGTCAGGCCGTTCTTGCTCTTCCACAGCAAAAAATGCCCAAGGCGCTGGGAACTTCTTGAAGTAGTTCCTCCTGGCCGGCCAATCTGGGTGTCACCACCAAGCTTGCCCGGAAGGGCTTCCAAATAGTGACCTTCTTTGGACGTCTCTGGTGGTGCCCCTCTTCAGGAACATAAGCAATGCCAATCAGAATCCATCAGAGCTGTCGGACGAGGCGCCTTTTGCCAAGCAGCACAAATGCGACCGTGACCTCAGGACGGTGCGTTACCAAAGTCCACCAAAGGATTGGAGTGTGCAAATAAACTGAGCTGGTTGATGGCTTCAACCCTGGATAGATACTAGTTACTACTTTACTGTGCTTGTTCATATGATTCATATGTGTTATTGGGATTCTAGTCCTTCCTGGTAATTGTGTAGAGGATGTTGTTTGGCTGTGACCATCGAACATGAATTGGACGCGTCAACCTTCCAGCATGCTTTGGGTCTGGGAGGTTGCGTTTCACACAGCCAAACCATTCTTGCCCTAGTCAGAAAAGAAGGAATCTCATCCACCTTGAAGAGGAAGGCCCTGGGCCGCCCTCTTCAGGATCTTCAGGTCTTCAGTAGGGCCTGGGTGTCTCAGGTGGGTGTCTCCAGACCTGCAAAAAATCACCACAATCACCGACCCAACCTGACCTGACATCCTGGGCCGGAGACCGTCCCAAGAGCTTTTGCAGGTCTCTGGTTTTCTCTGGTCTTGGTCTCCCTGCTTTCGAGACACGCCCGAGAGGTCTGAATGTTTCGACTGTAACGAAGGTGAACGTGAACTGATGTTCCGACCCTGCGAGAAGTGTGATGACCGCCCCAGGCCCTTCTCAATAGGCACTATAGCAAAATGATGGAAAATGGAAAAGGGTCAGCTGTTCCCCAATTGTCGCATTCCCAGCTGACCTGTGCATGTTGGCCTCAGGAATCTTGACCACATCCGTCTCAACATTCAACTAAACATTGAAGATATTTGCAGAAGTCAAATGACAAATCTCTAACTCAAGTAACCTCAAGAGGAAACCAATCTTTTAATAGCAAGTCACCCTCCAAACAGCTTCTCCTGGATCTGTAAAACATGGTCTTTCACCAGCTGTTTATGGCTCCCGTTTATGGCTCCACGTGGCGTTCGGACATCGTTTCCAAGGCGCCCCGGCTTTCTTGCCCAAGGCCTGTCAGGTCTCGAAAGAAAACACAGGCTAAAAAGATTGATCGGTGTGGAGAAGAAAAAAATGGAAAACACTGACGCTCAAAAAGGACATGTCCAATGCCGAAGGAAGAGTGGCTGCTGGTGGACGAAGATCAATGTGAACAGAACTGACCAAACCTGACGACATGTCTAAACAATTGTTTTATCTGATATGGTCTGAATTGCGTGAATTGATCTGATGATGATCCGATTCTTGAAAAGGAACCGAACCCTGCCGTTCCTGAATGAACAAACATCCACCCCATGGATGTAGAGCCGTTGCGATTATTCCCATATATATAGAAGTTATAAGTGATCTCACAGGTGGCCACAGCCAAATGCACCCTCTGAAACACATGACACACATGCACAAGGATACCAACATGTACCCCAAAAATCACAAGCAGTGCAGCTTGGCCAGCACCAAACCTCCCCACACGGAACCAGATCCTCTGGGACTTCCCCTGCCTCTTTTGAGATCAGTTCCGCTGCGCTGGGCCGATCACACTCTGGGCTGGGCGGTGGGTGCGCTGGCGCGGGCTGAGGGTGCAAGAGTTCAGCTGGTGGCAGCGTGGCCGGATCAGACCTTGGTAGCTGTGGATATGAAAACACCTTTAGCAGAACTGCTTCTTCCTATAGAAGACAATCCTCGCCAAATACTCAGCATGTTGTTTCAAAATTCTCACATTCTCATGCAAAAGGTGCTGCTTAAAGCGTCAAAAGCACAGCTGCCGCCAGGGTTTATCAATATACAATATATACTTACTGTATAATACAATATATATTTTATATATATTAGATATATATATTGTGGTATATAATCCAGGGTCCACTGAGAAGCACGGTTTGGGAAAACGTGGTCTTTGGGTCTCGGTTTCATCCACGGCACTGAGGCTGCTGTGCCTTTTCGGTCCATAAGACCTGAGGACGCACAGCTGGTCCGGGCTCTGAGCACATTCTGACCACACCATGTGTAGTTATGTAGCTTCTTCTTGTTGGATCCGAATGTGCTTTAGGTGTATGTTGATTCATTCTGTCGTCACCACATCCTGCATGTGCTCCAGGATCTGAGCTTCCTTGTTCGCTTTTGCACATTGCAGGGCCATGGACCGTGTCTCCACTGATGATCCATGCTTTATTGGGGAACCATTGGGTGTATAAAAATGGGGGGCCTTCCAAAGACCCAAAATAGACCAAAACCACGACCAAAACCCATTGTTTGGGGTAACGGGGTCTCCCTATTGAAATGCACATCCATTCAAATGATTTACAAGGTGATGTTTCCAGACTCAGTAATCCACAGGAAGCGCCCAATCCACAGGGCTGCCAATGAAACAATCACTTGTTGCGACTGTCGCTGAAGTCGGTATCCAAAGGCGGAAATGGTGCGTTTTTCTCAACATCTGGAGCTCTGGAGCGAGAAACCATCATGACGTTGATGTTTGTTCGGCGAAACATGGAGAATGAGACACCGTCAGTCTAAGCCTCCGGGCTGTGCCCACGAAAACGCACCATAAACCGCAAGCCACAAAGACCAAAAGGAAGGCGATCCTGATGGTATTTCCGCCCACACGAGCTAGGAATCACGCAAAAAATTGCTTACGGTAAGATTGGTCAGGACGCATGATGCGCACGATGAATGAAGGAGCCGGCAGCTATCATGTCTGCAATCCACAAATCAGACAAATGGCACAAAGGGCAAGATTCGGGATGATTCTCTAGTGCTTTCATCATCTTTCATCCTTCCGTCTGCTCTGTCGATCCGTCATCTCCCGTCCTCAAGTGCTTCATCTCACGGCCAAACGGGCCAAGGGATTCGGCGAGAAAGTCATGTGGCTCGCCGAAGCGCGCGCGGCGGGGTCTGGACTCTCTGCGGCGGTCGTGGTGGTGTGCTCGGGGATCCGTTTGTTGTTTGAGGAAGATCATAGGCCCTTGAATCTATAGCTCTCCAAAACAAGAATTCAACAACTACTCACCACGAAAACCTCAGAACCTTTGAACCTCTCAGTTCAAGAGGAACGCACCCAAAAAACCATCGCCACATCAAACGTCTTGTAGAAGTGTTCACCCCGTGTTCCATCTGTCAGGGTTTCAGGGTGGCATCTTGGAAGCGTGCGCCGTGCTCATCCATGCTCTCTCTGTTTTATAAAAAGAAAAACATCATGATCAGAAGTTCTTTGCACAAATGATCTGGTCAGAAGTCAGCATTCTTTCACCACCACGAGAGTTTTTCTCTCGCGTGAGGGAGCTTCTTTGGATGGCTCGAGCAGGTTCGGAGATTGAGCGTGTTGAATACGCGTTCCCCACGAAGTTTCGCGACCAGCCCAGAACATGCGGCTGAATGATGAGAACTGTGGAATCTCCCGAAGAGAGAAAAACACCTGGGAAATCAGCCGGCACAGTTCGCAAGGTCATGCTCTCGTCAAGACTCAAGAGGTTTGTTGCCACCCTGCGACTCAAGTGTTTTGAGTGACCAAATCAAATGTGTTTTGAGTCGACGTCACATACAACACTAAACAATGTATATAAGCTACTAAGTGCCTTAAGTGCATCGCTTCTAGTAACTAGTAACAAGTGCCTTACTAGTAGTAACAATGGTTTGCTATTTTCTAAACACGGGTGCTAATCAGCACCATTATGCGACCTGTCTCCGCATCGAACCGGTCGATCCATTGAACTGAACTACGAGCGGGAGCGGTGGACGGATCAGTGGAGCGGTCGGTGTGCAGCATATGCGACGTCGAAGATGAAAGCGTGTGTTTTCCTTGTGTTGTTTCCACTGTTTGTGTGGCGTTTGTGTGGCGTTCTTTGACTAATTTGTTCTTCAACATGAAAGTTTCCACTGTTTGACTGTTTGTGTGACGTTCTTGATCGAACTAATGGGAGTCGGGCACAAAATGATCAAGCTCAGGCAGCGTGAAGGACAGCGAGCTACCACTTGTTCTGTTCCAAAGCAACTGTGCTCTGTGGTCTGGGTATATCAGTCTATCCCACCTTGTCAAGCACAAAAGGGGTATAATTAGAAGAACAAGTGCCTGAATGTGTCTGAACCACTCATGATGACGTATTTAATCTGGGCCCAATAAGGATCCAATAGGACTGCACTCCTCTCTCTCGCGGAAAAGCGACGGCCACCGGACGATCATCAAGCAGCTACCGGTCGGTCAAGTTGGCCAGAGATCACCGGACTCATCCACCACTTCAATGGGAAAGGCCTCGGTTGGTGACGAAAACCACGAGAGACCAGGAGGTGAGGTGTTTTCGGCTCGCTTCTCATCGCTGGCTTGTTTCATGTGAGTATTGTTCATAGAAACAGATCAACAGGCCACGTCGAAACGTTGTTTTTTGATAAATGAACAAAACATCCTTCTTCAACACATCCTTCTTGGCAGTGGTCCAACTGCTTACTCTAAGGAGGGGGGCACTGACCGCCTTCTCACATGTCCAGCCTCATCACTTGAAGATTGATGCTGATAAAAGAATTCAGCCATGAGTAAGGTTGAGAATCCAAACAAACATTCCCAGCCACAACCGGGGCCTCAACCCCCAACAAGGGCACAAAACCTTGCAAACAAAAAAAGCAATGCCAGCATGTTAATCGACTGAGCAGCTGGCTGGCTAGTCATACAAGGCCTCATACACAAATCATGAGGCTTTCATCCTCGTTGATCCTGGTCATCTGTCTTCAAGAGTTGCAAAGAGAATCCTTCAGCATGACACGGCCCATATATATAATATATAGACTATAGACTCTTGAGTAGTAAAAGCTCCTGTTTGAATGGATAAAGACATCTTCAAGCTGGGGGCTTTATTAATCAACTGGTCTACATTATGCTATAATTTGTACCACCCACCCAGTCAGATGCCTCAAAATCAAAAGCACTGCATGCCAAGGGGCTCCCAGCAAAGAGATGCTCGCGCACCTTGGGGCCTCCTGACCTATGAGCTCCAACAGCTCCTGCTGTTCCGTTGGGATTCCCAATGGCCGGAGAGCCCTCCAAACGGCCGGAGGAGTCGTGAAGGAATGTTGGTTGAATACTACCCAGACACTCCATGGGACTGCCATATATTCCGATCAGTTGGGGTTCTTTGGGGGGTCAATGTATGCATATATGGTAGTCCCATGGAGTGTCTGGGCTATAGAACACTATATCAACACTTTCTATAGAATACTATAGAACACTCTCCTTGCGTGAAAAATTATGTAATTTACTATACATGCATGATCATGCATGCATTCCTTGGCCCACTTTGAAGGATCTGACTTGTTGTTCGCGCAAAGCGAGGTCCTAAACTAAAAATACTAATAAGATCTAATAAGTGGGGAAGGCATAAGGGCAGGGAAGAGATAGGAGACACCACCGCCCGCGCGTCTGCCGGCGTCCTGGATCCGCGTCCGTAGTGGGTCATCCAACTGCAAACTCCGAAGCAAGGCATCCCACAAGACCTCTGCACCGGAAAAAATACACATCCCGGCAAGAACCCCTAGTGTTACATGGTGTTACCACACCGTTTGATTGTTGACCAAGTTTTTAGAGAATATGTGTTCCATTGTTTTCCTCTGTGACTGCTGGTTTGGTGGTTTGGAAAAATGTGCTGGTGGGTGAAGCGATGTGGATGATGTGGTTGTGGCTATCACCTCCACTGGGAGGAGCTTGGTCGAGCAACGGTTTGCATGCTGACCAACGGCCGAGAGGACGTCGTCTTAAAGTCATAGCTCAAACACTTCATGTATGGATTGGCTTGGATGCCTAATATGACTAATATGCCTACATTGACCCCTCAAACCACTCTAACATAGAAAAATATGCCATACATGGAGCGTCTGGGGTATAGTGGATTCCAAATGGATTTGATATACATTTCTGAGATACCCATCATATTCCACTCGAATAACGCCAAAGTCACCCTCGATTGAACGCTGTGGCACAACACATTGACATAAGTTGATGCTTGCACTTGTAGATCAATTCTTAGGGTACCTGCTAACTGTGCTAACACTTGTTGAAAATGATCGTGGTGGGAATAGGATATCCAAAATATCACCCAAACATACCCAGACCATCCATGGGACTTGCATATTTACCTAATATACACTGATCCCTTTTAAACCACCCCAGCTGATCGGTAAATGTGGCATACATAAATGTTCTGGGTCATATTATGTATATATAGGTAGACCCAATCTTTGAATCTTTGACCACCCACGGTCTATCTGTCAGTTTTGGGTGTCTCGCCGTCCTTCGTTCCGTTCGCCAAGGCACGCAAACGTGGCCCAGTCGGGCTAGAAGTGCCAGCTGGAATTGATTGAGTCCTCAGCACCAAACATGTTAGAGGTCGATGGGTGAGATGTGATGAATGTGAGGCAAACCGGTTCGAACGGGCGTAGCAGCTAGGCTTTTGCCAATTCAGCTCCTTACAATCGTCTATGAATCTCTATGACAATCCAAAACAGAAGATGCGATATGACGCAATGCTATGTTTTTATGATATTAGTGTATGATTTTATCAAGCTCTATATAAGAGATATTGTTCTATCGAATGTCTAATTAATTACTTTGGTGCTCGTGATGATTACCACGGTATAGTGCGTCCAGGCTTCTAAAGAAAGCCCGGATGGTGACTTCACAACGCCTCGCTATTCCAACCCCAAGACACACTTGAGAAGGTTGCTCCGTGGAGCGTGATTTCAGGTAGCTTCGCGGTGTGCATTAGCCCTTTACATTTAGTTACAAGCATTAGCCCTTTATCGCAAAATCAACGTATGAGACAGCGTTGAACTGACTTAGAAGCATCAATGAGTGAAGATTAAAAATTGCAGGTACAAGATACTGCGTCCAGTATCTCTTCCAACCGAACACCATAGCTTTGTTAGCACGGCTAGGTGAACGGCCGCCGTGCCCCCTGCTACTGTACAGTGGTTGAAAAAGTCGTAGGGTAGGTTAGAACGAGAACTAGGGTAGTGTCCTTGGAAACAGGAGTGGACACACACAAAGAGCCGTATCGGCGCAGCTAGATCGGATCAGGTAGGACCTGGATAATAAATAGTGGAAGTGCTTGACATTGAAAGGTTCAATACTGTAAATTGCATATCACAGCAGTCTGCGAAAGTGCTGGCACATAGTCTTTTTCCTCTTGGCCGCAGCGCCGCGGCGCAGTGTGCTGGTGAATGACCTTTGGCCATATATAGCTGCATCAACTTCTGTGCTGTCGTGTGTGCAAGATGTTTTGGGTAAGTGTATTTTTGTAGTGTGTGGTGGCGTGATTGTAGGCCTGAGAGGCGTAGTCTGTGACTCCCTGCTGACTGCGGATCACGAATCTGCCAGGGATGAGCGGGGAGTTGAAAGGTGACTGTTCTGTTGAGAGGATCGATCAGGAAACCGAGTAGGTGGTCGTCGTCCACTGGCTCTATTTCCACTGGGTGTTCATAAAATTCAGGATGGGCCAAAGTGGTGATGGGGAGTGCTGACCTGTATTGTTCGTTGAGCAAAATGTATCGGTTGTCCACGTAGCGGGCGTTCAGCAAATGAAGGCTGGGTTGGTGCAAGAAGTTGTGGTACGTGGTTTGCCATGTGTGTTCGATGAGTGTGATGGCGACATTGCAAAGTGCTGGTGAGAGCTGACTGCCGATGCCTGCTCCTTGGATTTGTTTGTAGTAGGTGTTGCATGCTTGGAAAATGCATGAGTGAAGTGCTTGTTGCACAATGAGGGGAATGTGTTGAGTGTCCAAGGTGCGTTGTTGTGGGTGGTGAATGTAGTGTCGACCGATGTGGGAGTGTTGCAGGGGATTGCCAGTAGATTGAACGTCAATTGTGATGGTGGTAGTATTGTGTTGTGCTTTCCAGCGGTGGCATAGGCTGATGACTGCATCGACGAG